TATATATATATATAAAAATCTATATTTTCTTCAGTAGCAGAAGCAGCAGATATTTTTCTGTATTTTCAACTAGCCAGAGCACACCCTATTCTAGACAGGGTTAAAAAAAAAAAATCTGCCTCTTGACTATCCAGATTATAACAAAATATTCATTAAAAAGAAATCACAGAATAAATAGCAATAAGGATTTAATTAAATAAAATACATTTAGTCTTTTGCGTTGACCTAAAACTAAACCTGAAAGGGCCAAGGCCTACCCTCAGACACATGCGCATCATTGACATGCATCAGAAAGACTTGGCCCCTTGCTGTTTGAAAATAACAATGCATGTGCAAATTTTGATTAAAATGTTAACTGCTGATCTGTTCTTTGGCTGGTGAGTTTTGAAGCTCGTTTGTGGTCACGTGGAAACACAGCCCCAAATATGTCTTCATGGTATCGCTTCTGGCTCTGCAAAATCAAGGAGAGGAAATAATATAATCTCTGTTGTTCCACCTGAGCCTAAAAACATGGAAATTCACACATCCTGCAAAAGCCATTAGTTATCCAGCTTCATCAAGGCAAATCTGGCCCCTGCCATGAATGCACAGAATTAAGGTGGAGAGAGTGGGGCCACTAGTGGAAATACAGGGGTGGGGTAATATTCAATATATGCATCTTGGGCATTCATGGCATGTTCATTATGTATTGGAGTAATATGAATTACGCATATGCAGTACATACACTGAGAGAACAGCACATATAAGGTGTGCAGCTCATTTAGAAGGGGTCGACTAATCTGCACTCACATGCTGTTTAGATTTTTTTTTACATGATTGTTGCCTACCCTACAGCAGTCGCTTAATCAGGGTTCTGGCTTATGCTGTGCAGGACCCTTTAGCTTGAGCACTGACTATAGCAAGTAGGTGAAATCATGCCCCTGGCCCACAGCCATACCTTGAGCTGGGAGATGTACTCTTCAGCCTGATCCTCGGTCAGCTTCAGTCTCTTAGCAAACATCTCCTTCAAGGTCTGGGCAACGTCCCTGGCCATGCGCACATCTCCACAGACATACAGATGCCCTTTGTCTTCATGGATGAGTTGGTGAACTTCTGTCTCCAGCTTGCTCTGAAGAATGTCTTGAACATAGACCTTAAAAAACAAGTCAAGCAAAATCCCTTTAATATGACCTGAGGTAGGAGTTTCTCAATATGTGGCATAGACCTAAGGCCTGCATGTGAAAGTTTTGACATCCTTTCCCATCAAGCTATGCTGTGTACAAGAGCAGAGGGGAAAATGGCCTTAAACCACCTTTACATTCTTCTGGTCTTGAGGCTGGGCCAGTGTCTTGCAGAAATAGTAGCCCAAAAGCTGCTCTAATTTAGGCCCCATTGTCAGCAGCTCCAAAGGAACATTTAGACACCTGGGCTGCCTGTACACGTGCTCAGAGTTGGGTGGGGAGTGTTAATTAGAGCTCTGGAGAGCCACTGTAATGAAAAGGCTCATAGTCATGTGTATTAAGCCCACTTTGTTTCAAGATAGCCATGGGGGCACTTCAACTAAAGCTCATTTGTGATTGTGAGGCAATGCTGGAGCGTTCTAGTTAGAACACTAATGAGCATGTCTATAGGCAGCCATTGGTATAGGGATACTTCAGCTCCACCTTCATGCCCTCTTATACCAGCAGCTGAAAAGGCTGGCTTAGGTGCCAATGACTACTGCTACCTCAGCAATCTCTCCGCCTTTGAGCTTCACAGGCAGGTTGCTATTGGAAGTTTTAAATATGGACCTAGCTATTATAGTCTTTCTCAGGGTAATAACTAGGGGTTAGATATGTATAGCTATACTCCTGTCCCCTGCAAAAAATGAAGGCCTTTCATCAGTCGAGGACAATGCACTGCAGTGAAGCACTCGGCAGTTCTGAAGGAGAGCTTTAAACAGTGCCCAATTCTTATCTCGGGAATATAGTCTCCCTTCTAAAAGGCAGAGAAGCCAGTCTTACTTTTGCTTGGCCAGGCTGCCTGGAGTAAGCAGTGTAGACCTCTTTGAGTACTCCCTTTCTCTTCATCTCCTGAGTTTCTTCCCTGTAGATGTGATCCGTATCTGATTGCCGGCAGCCAAACAGTAATGTCATGCCGCTGCCTTTGATTCCTGAAACCAACAATGAAAAGTTGTTTCGTCTTTTAAACTTTGCCCAATTATTTGCAATTACAATCCCAACAGACGGCCCTGTTGTCTCAGCAACTATTCATGCAATGTAAGGGCAGGAGGCTATTTTTTAATTAGCCTGTTCCACTGTGTGGAATGCGTGTGTGTGATGGCTTCTGATGTGGGTGCAGTCAGGGTGTCTACAAAACATCACAGGCAGAAGCTCTGTGTAACACCAAAGGGGCAGCAATAATCCACTAATCTGGCAGAAGCAGTTGAGAGGAAGCCACTGTTTTTTATCTCTGTGCTTGGACACATTGTGCAAGAGGTAAGGAGCAAACAGAGTCTAAACTTTTGGAAGCAGATGAACAGCTCCCTCCTAGTGCCCCTGGTGATTCCAGATCCCCCAACAGAGAGTAAGAGGAAGATGTCTTTCAGGTACAGTCCCTGTTGAAACTCCTCCTTGAGTGGCAAATCTCTGCACTGCTCCCTGTCAGTACCAATGCTTCTGGGTATAACCTGCCCCTCCTCTTGGGCTTGTGAGCATCAATTACAACAGCAACACAGAACTGCATGTTTACACATGCAATGCCTCTGTGGGACATCCCTCTGTACCTTTCTTTTCCAAGTCATGGAGACGCTGCTGCCAGAAGCTTCTGAATGGAGCAATTCCTGTCCCTGGGCCAATCAGAATGCATGGCGTGGATGGGTCCTTCGGGAGCTGGAATCCGGCAGCACTAATATCAATTAAATGTGAGAACAGATTTGTTAGGAAGAGCATAAGATGGCATAAGTCAATTCCTACCAAGCTCCCCAGCAATTACCTCTCCCTGTTAGCCTTAACCTCTCCTCTGTGGCACTACTACTGTTAATTGGGTTGCATGGAGTGGAGAATCAGGCTCTCCATTTTTCAAGGTCTGATGTAAACATCAGCCCTGCCAACTCATTCTATTGCCATCATTCCTGCTTTGCAGAAGCACCAGCAAATACTTGCTCAAAGTCACCAGGCACCATAGCTCTAGTTGCATGTCTATCTACTAGATAATGCTGCCTTGCAAAAAGTATGGATAATAGTCTTATTAAAGTTTGGGCACGGCTGCTGACAGACTTCTGGCAGTGCTGCAGCAAGTCCCAAGGTAATTCCCCTTGACACTATTTAAGAAGCTTTTGATTCTTTACATGAGTGGTTCATATTTGCAAGAGCTCACAGAAGTTTTCCAAGTGCCTGTTGCAGATATGTATTTATATAGATTCGTGCCAGAAGTTTTCCCAAATCTGCCTTGAAATCTCAGCCAGGAACAGAAATGATACTCTGTTGTTACTGAATTTCAAGTATCAACTACTCAAGGCAACACTTGCAGGAAACAAGTTTTGTTCCCACAAAATATTTCTTGCACATTTTTTATTGTGAAAAAATCTGTAAAACCTTGGTGACAATTTGCAAACAGAAAAAAAGGATAGTTTAGCGGCAGGGTTCTTTACTGCAGATTGTTCAGTCAGATGAATTATTGGCCATCAGAGATAAGCCAATGAAAGGTCGACTATTTTACCAATAAATATGTCTTGCCTGTGGATGCTTCAATATTTGGACACCCAACTTCAGGCATGCTAAAGGAATCTGATTTTTAGACAACAGGTCCTTATGCTGTTTGCAAAGTATTAGTTGCTTGAAAAGCTTGCCTATATAATATATACTCTGATAACAACGAAGAGACTGAAGAAATTGAAGTAACACCTCACCTGCGTACAAAGCATGGGACTGTTTCACTGAGATTTATTGTATTCAGCCATGTACTGCAAACTCCATGACGTAAGGGACCTTGACCATCTGCAGGAAGAAGGGAAAACGCATCTATGAATAAAGCTAATTACTCTAAAAAAAAGCTGATATCTAAAAAAACCTGATAATTTGGTATCTAATACTGATTTAAAAACCCAACATAGACTGTTAATTGTCACAACACATTTCTATCCTGAATTAATTATTTATATAGAGTGATACCACAATATAAACTCCCAACTAAAATGGCCAGCTTTCTATCGTATGGCCAATACATTTTACTGAACCATGGTGCCCTGGACACAGCATTGAATCAGAGAATAAATGCAAGTGAATCAGAGAATATATGTAAGTGACAATTACCCTTTGTCCTGTAGTTGACCACCGCAACTGTCAGATGGACCTCTCTGGGTGACATGTCTTGTGAGGAGCTGATGGAGTAATATCTGGGCTTCAGCAAAGGCAACTGAGTCAGCAAGAAAGGTGTTGAGACCTTAATGGAAGGGAATTCCTTCAGGACCTCCAGGATGGTGGGACTGTTGAAAAACTTCCAGTCGTTGTACTTCTCTAAGCTCTGCAATTTCCAAGGGCAAACAGAAATGTTGACAGGCAGCTCAAAACCTCATGGAAACTGGGAACGGGGCATTTCAAAAGTCATGTGTAAACTAAGTTTCTTGCTTTAAGTTTAACAACGTATAGGTAAAATTGAGATATAAAAAGAGACTCTAAAGCTTCCATCACAGCAGTGTGGGGAAGTTGCCGAGGTACAGAGTCTTCAAAGCAGAGAATCCTTCTATGGTAAGTCTAGTTTTAATACTCACATGACATAAGACTTCCAGTCTCTGTCTGTCTCCTTCCTCTGTTGCCAGCTGGGAGAGCTTTTTTAGCAGCTGCTGTGAGGGTGGGGTGGTGATATCCAGGAAGTATGTCAAGGCTTCTGAGAGTGTGCAGGGTGGAATTTTCTTGTCACTTGTCCAGTAGCCACCTGGAAATTTGGAAAATATAAGAAACATTTGAGACTGTTTCCCAAGAAGTATGACAGCTGTTATGTTTTGAAGCATTCAGTTTTGTTTAAAGTAGGCTGACCCTTCTTAACCAGCCTACCTGCCTGCAGAGCTAGACACAGGACCCCAGTGAGAGGAGTAGCTGCTAAGAAAATAAATCTAGCGAAGCATAATCTTGTACTTGATCAACAGCAAAACCCTTAAGTCTCCCTCCAGGCAAAAAGGAATTTGCTTGTTTGTTTTTTTCTTGTAAAGGAGCTATGCTGAATTTCACCAGTGAAAGATCTGGCCCTGTTTTTATATGCACTGAACCACAGGCAATGAGAAAACATCCCCTTTAAATGAAGAGAACTGTTCAAACAACCACTTATCTGTGCAACCAAGCTATGATTTAGCAGGTTTCTCCTCCTAAGCAGAGGAAATATCCTAGTTTAGAAGACTGGTTAGAATGTCCCAAACTGCAGCGAATCCCCTCTATCATAACTTAGAGACAGTCAGTAGCCAGGTTCTGATCTCAGAGAAATGTCAATCCAGAAATATCCCATTGATTACTGAGGATTTTCATCAGTTTGAGCTAGATCAGGCTCTAGTACTAGTAAAGCAAGCAAAACAAAGAGTCTATACAGCTCCCTTGGGAGCTCCCATTTTTTACCTAAAGACTGGTGGATATGAAGGCAATGGACAAGTCAGTGACTATATATCTTGAAATAATACATGTCAATAATCAATTTTAAATTAAAAAATTATTAAACTGGATCATGGAAAAGTTCATAAAACATTTGCTGCCCCTCCAACAAATCTAACTTACCATCATTGTAGGTTTCCAATCGGACGGTCTGATCAGCTGGGGGTGCATCTTTAAGAAGCTCAGTGATGCCCTGAACTAATTCTGGCTGGTTGCCTGGGAAAATCCCAATGTGGTCTCCGGGCAGGTACTGCATTTCCTGATTAGTCTCACAGGAAAGCTTAACAAGGATGGTGACACGACTATATATTAAAAGAAGAAACCAGACAAATTTTGGTTACGTCAACAGGATTTCCCTTTGACAGTGCAGAAAGGTATAAATGTAAAGAGATCTTTGGCAAGGGTTTGCTTGCGTTGGCCCTACTTTCAGATTAATTTAATAGTTCCTGGACCTTTTGTCAAACCACGTTCTGGGTAGGTACAGTATTTTACTCAGCACAAATAAGATGCTGAAGATGTGCTGATCAGCATATAATAACCTGAATCACTGTGTCATTGGCCATTGAAAATATAATCTTATTGGAAGTTGAAAAGTCTGCATTAATAACCAGCCCGGGAGACTTCCTCTCAAGATATTATTTTTAGAACATAGAACACGAGGGCACTAGGAAGTCTTTTATAGAGCCTGTTCCATAAAGCGGATGTTGTTCCTTAAAAATGGTTGTAATTCAGCACCTATCTGCATGAGTTTGTGTATTGTTATAGCTTAACTTGGGTTGTAGCATCATTATGAACTAAAATAATTCTTTAAAATATGTTTTCCCTTTCCTTTTTCTGAATGGAGGCAATTTTCTGAAGAAGTGAAAATGTGCTTAGGATTTTGGGCAAAGCAATCACACTGGATTTTACATTTAGCATCAAACTGATTTGTGCTATGTTAATTCCCATTAGTAATGGTCTGAAATTCAAAGATGTTTATATCTGGCCATTTCAGTTTTCTTAAATTATAGTAAAAATGTTATTAAAATATCTACAAGAATTGAGTGTCATACCTGGATTTTGAACTTTGCAGATTCTGCCTAAATGTGAGCTTCATTGGAATCACATTCTTTGCATGTATGTCAGCAAGTCCTGTGGAAAAAGGGGATGTGGTTAATCAAATACTGAATTACTTTAGATTTCTTCAAGGCAGTGTGGAAAGGAACTGTGCTATTCTTCTCCCCATCCTTTTTTGGTTTCCTATGAAAGTAATAAACAAGTCATACTGCTTTCAAGCTTCTGCGCTGCTTGAAAATAGCATGCGGTGTGTTTTTTAATGCTGTCCTATTGAGATGTGAGACTAGGAATTATCCCACCTAAACAGATTTCTGTTTCTTCAACCACTTTAACCGTCTTAGCAGAACATTAGGTTCATCCCCCAATATTGTAGCAAGGCTAATTTTGTTTTAACTGTCTATGCAAGACAAGCATATTAGATGCTAAACAGGCATGCCAAAAAAGGAGAGAGGCAATACCTTTACTCAAGTGCAAAGTCTGGGAGTCGTATACCACCCTGTAGTTCTTAGGATTCCAGGAATCATCACAGGTATACATCTTGGGTACCTGAATGCTGTTTTTCCCACGGACATCAAAGATCTCACAGGCAGTCTAGAAAAAATTGAAGATTACTCATGGTAAACATTTCAGTTCTTGTCATTTTTGAGTGTTCATTGATAACACTGCTTTGCATTTAATTACTACTACTGCTAATGACATCATGTAGAACAGATGAAGCAGATTTTGATTTCACTCATTCCTAATAACTATTGGGAATATCTTGTTGATTTCTATAGCTGTACTGACTCTAACAAGGTTATTTCCAAACCAGAAGAAATGAGATCCTGGATCTAGTTAGAAACATTTTTAGGATAAATTCTATCACCCTTCTTGCTTTGTGTACCTTACTACACAAGAAGCTCAAAGTCAATGGATTCAGCACCAGTGCAGCAAAACTGAACTGAATCTTGCCTCAGTTTTGGGAGACCCTTATTCCAAATCAAGATCCATATGATAAATTGGCAAATGGCTCCTTCCTTTAAAATGGACTGAAGCAAAACCCTGGATCTTCAGTGACCCCCTCCCCTCCCATACCTGAAGGTATCGAAAATCCAGATCTTAAGTGCACAGATGGATTGTATTATTAATGATACCAAATGATATTTTTGTTTTAAATGGGGTTTTTTTTCAACTTTCCTTTTTGCAGGCTGTTTCACCAATGAAAACCTAAGAAAAAATTAATGTAGCAGGTCCATGGATTGCTGCAGCAATAGTTACCTTGAATGCATTCACTGCCCAGGCACGAAAGGCTTCTTCCTGTCCATTGAGTTCATCCCCTTCACCCGTTGTAGTGATCTGAGAGGCACCTATCTGTGCAAGTTTTTGGTCAATGGCATGAGCGAAGGCACAGAACTCTGGATACATGGTTGATCCCAGGCCAAACACAGCATATCTATGCAGAGAGATGTAGATGAGTCTCAGGAAAGCAATGTTCACAGTTCTCATTGAACTGCATGTTAAATTAAAGTAATAGAGACAATCAAAGACACATTAAATAACAAAGTATTACCTGAATTTTTTGTTCAGCTTTTTCATAGTGAACAGGGCTTCCTTCAATTTCTGTAAAAAAAATGAATAAAATGTTTCATGTTGCATAAATATCTATAGATGATATAAAATTAAAGTCTGTTCTAAGTCCATTGGAGTCAACGTTAAGATTCCTATTGGATCTTGGATCAAGACCTCCTACAGTCTTCGCCTTGAAATCTTACCTTTCCATTGCCAGGTGAATCTCCATTTCCAAAAGTGCTGGTTACCACCAGAAGGAGATTTTCTTTCTCCAGGTCACTGATCTTATAGTCATCCATACAAAGAATCTGGAAGAGAATGAATTCATAGGACATAAATATGGGCTGGCTGTAATAGGTAAGAAGCTTTCAGGTCACTGTTTATTAAAACTGGGAGACAGTGTGGGTTAGCTTATCCACTTTCCCCCACCACCATATGTCTGGTCTAGGTAGATGGTAAGTTCTCAAGGCAGGGACTCTTTCTCTTTATGTTTGACCATGTGAAGCACCTAAAAATATGAGGCCCCAGTCTCAGCTGGGGACTTTAATAAGCAAAACAACAAATCCTCACTATGGTCTTCAGACTGACCAGCAATGACTGATATTTTGTCTTTCCCAAACAAATGACCCATCATTTAAAGCTAAATGAGAAGCCTTGCCAAGTTAGAGTAGTTTGAAGGCATAAAACCATTTCACAGAGGCAGAAGCAGATGCAATAAAAGTGTTTCCTACGGAAACAATGGTCTGCAAATCAAAAAGAAAATATGTTGCAAGGCATAAAAAAAATACACACTCTGGGTCAAATCTTTGGTCAACCAAAGCTTCCAGTGAATCTTTGCCAGATGCAACCTCTTGTGGATACTGACAGACCTGTAGTTTCCAACTCTTGCTCTCCTAGATTTATTTCTCATTCTTTCTTTCCTACCTTCCCTCAGTAATATATTTATGGTCATGAGGTAGATTTTCTTACCCTGGTATTGAAGGCACAGTTGAATAAGTCACACAGATTGTTGGCCAGGGTTTCAGATTTCCCCGTCTCTGTCGCATATATCACAGTTGCTTTAGACCGGGCTGCCATTCTTTTCCGCATCAATGAAGAGGCAAAGAATGCGGCCCTGAGAAAAAGCACATGAAGCTGATAAATTATCTGCCAATATAGGTGGAACCTGATTTTCTAAAATATAGGAAAAAGCTAATATAGAGAAAGGCTTTTTGACTTTTCTTGGAGAATTTTTTAGAGTAGTAAGTTGGAGATTTCGGACATGATTGTCACTAGACTTGAAGATGTAAATGATTCACTGGCCCCTACCGCAATAATGAGATAAATCAAAGATGTGGGCCTGGAACTCCTCCAACCCAGTTTTGGAAAGGAAATGTCAGCTCCTCAGAGCTTAACTTCACATGTACAAAACACGGAATAGTAAGCGTATTGGAAACTTACTTTGCAAAAACACTAAACTTTATCTCCTTTTTCTTTGGCCTGCGTGTTTCATCATGCCAGACGTGAGTTTTCCAAGCATCCTCCTTGAAAAAGAAAGGTATGAGATTTTGAAACACTATAACCATGTTGCACAGATAAAAAATGTTCCCTTGGAAAGGTCAGAATATTTTGTAATCCACACATGTGATCTACTTTGTAGGCCAGGTCCTGCCTCTATCATCTTCAGTAACGCAAGCTCAGCCTTGATAAGGGTCTAATTGCATTTTATATCCATTTGGGGATGCAAAAGGAACTAACGTATGTATCTGCTAATGAATGAATGCATCACTCGGTGAATATGAGTTCACAAGTACCATGACTGGCAGTTAATGGGAAGGATATGGTTTAAACTCTGACAGTAGGTGATCTGTAGATAGGACCTCTAGTATTTTAAACTGTCTGCTAAGATCATTGCTTCAGTCACACTTACTTGGTAGTAATAGAACGGTGAAAGCACATAGTTCAGCATCTCCTGGTGAAATACTGGGGTAATGCTCCCTGATATCGGAGGCACAAGCCAAACCCAGTCTGCCGGACAACCTCCTCGAACACGGTACTCATTCTGCATGTATTTCATGAAGGACTCAGCAGCAGAGTGGTGGTCCATGATGGTGACATTTTGCTTCTAAAAGAATTACACAAAGCAAGGCATCAGCTGGTGAGACCCATAGTATGGACCTGCAAAAATACTGCATTGACTATCTAAAGCATTTATAAACACTGTGTTGCTACAGACCATAAGTGCTCCCTAAGTCTTATAAAAAAAAACTTTTGCTTTTCTCCCTGTACTGCTTATAAAAGGCTATACATTGGCTGAACACATAATGTGAAGGGATTTTATGCTTCAGTGGGTGGGTCTACACGTGACACTACATTGCCATAGCGATGCACTACAGCGACATAGCTCGTTGCTGTGGTGATGTAGCATGGCAGGCACAAACCGTGACGCTGATGCTACGTCACCATAGCAATGAGCTACCTTGCTATAGCGTGCCACTAAAAATAATCATGTGCCACCTAAGGCAAGTACTAAACGACAGTACAGTAACAACTGGACTATGGGGGGAACATGTAGACACACCCAGTACTCTATTATAGATTAATTTTGGCCTCTTGTGCTGCAGCTTGTTCTATAATCCTGTTTTTTGCCAGGTTTTTAGCCATCAGAGGATTCACAATTCTTCACTTGCATTTTATTGCTCTAGCACAGGGAGGCCATGTTCAAAGTGCCCCTAGTTCATTTGCCCACCCATCAGTTGGTCATGGCTTGAAGAAATGACTTACTTGGAAGCTATAAAGCACAGCAATGTTGATCTCTATAACAGCTTGGTCTTTCCACAGTGAAGAAAGTTTGTTTGTGTCCAGACCCATCCTTCTTCCTACTTCCTACATTTGAAAGACAGAAAAAGGAAATTAATACACAGGAGTTCAGACTGATGATTCTGCCAAAAGCTTTTAGCATTTGGTTAAGTATTTTTCAAGCCAATACTCAGGGAAAAATGTTATGGGGTAGGGGGAAAACCACATGTAATGTCAGAATCAATGCACTGGCTTTTGTGCTGGAGGATTCAATGCCAGCGGGATGTCTGAAGCAAAGCTTTCTGATTCAGAGCTCTGAAGGGTATTCAGATCTGGCATGGGGAAGGCTGGGTTAGATGGTCTTAAAGAGGCACTGTCAGGTCAGAAAGCAGATACCGCTGTACATTATAACTACTACTTTTTTGGAGGTGCCTGGAAGTCCCAGTCATGAACCAGGACCCCGGGAGAACAGAACTGGCAGCTGTGCAATGGTTAAAAAAGCAGTTGGTGTAGGCAATGTCCAAGAGTTACATGAAAGCTTGACTGGGCTCAGTAGAAAAGTGGAGAAAGATTCACAGGAGAATCTTCACTCCCTTGGCTGCTGTTCCAACATCCGAACCAAGATTTTGGAAGAGATACTGTTAGGTCATTGTATAAATAATGACAAAATCTGGCACAGTTTCATGATCTTGGCTGTAGCTCAGGAGAGGTCCCATAAATAAGTAGTCAGGAGATGCTGTCAGGTTAGAAGTTGCTGGCTGAGGTGTGTGGGGAAGCACAGACAACACTCATTTGAACAGCGCATGCTGGCTTCTTGCTCTTGGAAATATTAATTTCTCACAGAACACTCTCTTCCTGGCCCTTCACACCCCCACCACACTCCTACCTTGCATAGAGACTCATGCCATCCCCTCGAAGATTACCTGAAGGATGTTGTACCGTTGCACATCACAGAAATCTCGCACGCCTATCTCGGTGCCCATGTACCAGCCGTTGAAAGGGCAGCCAGTGAATTCCAGGCCTCCCACTTCGAGCAACATGTTGGCCACAGCAGGCATCGCATACCACTTCAGATCCAGGTCTTTAAACCATTCGTACCTTTTAAAGAAGCATTTGGACTGTAAGTAAGTAGCTTCCTTGGTGTTTTCTTCTGACTACAACTAGCGGCAATTAGGGAACAGGGACAATGCTATCTGCTGTACGTGACAAAGCTACGGTGAACATACTGCAAAGGCTCAGAATGAATTTTCATTAACTATGCAAAACCTCAGAGTTCTTTGCTGAGGAAACTGGTAAATAGTGTCAAATTATTGCTGGCCCTGTAAAATGACTGCTGTCCACTGGATCATCAGGAAGCTTTGCACTTTCAGTCTCAATGACCTGAGCTTATGACTGGCAAGAGCAGCAAATTGTTGTTTTCAACGTGGTCAAGCCAGATGGGCTTCAGTTCAATGACGTATGCTATGATGATCGCTCTGCAGAAAGCACATGCTTAAGTTCTGTAGTGAACTGGGGGTGTGTTGATACTAAAACAGCATGCACCTTACACATGCATTACACACATACAAGAGACTGTGCTTTAAAAAAGCAACATGTTTTTGTATATGACTGAGGGAAAGACAAGAAAAAAAAAGTTTCCTGCAAAAAAGCTATTACTCTGCATTCATTTAAATACAATTTAGTTGCTGTACCACACATTTTACCTCTCGAGTTAACTTAACATAATTTCAGCCTGACAAAGAAATAATAAAAAGACTGCTGCAGGGCACAGACTAATAACCTGGCCCAAATAACAGCTGAGCAGGGAAGGCGAGGTGGAGACACAGATGCAATTATCTCAATTCAGTCTGCTTACTTTGGATGCTCCATTGGCACTTCAAGGATAATTTCTGGAGGCAGTTCAAATATTTCCGGGTCTTGGCCGTTTGCTTGGATAATCAGTGGAACTAAATCAAAGCGACCATACTTAGGCTTCCACCCAAGATCAATGCACAACTGTAAGGAAAAAAGGTAGGTTTTGTTCTGTTTCTCTGCAGGTTTGACCACAAAAGAATGTTCACCCTTTAAATCCTCTCTGGAGAGCTCCCTGATGCTAAGGGCTGCCTTTCCCTTAGGCAACGCCATGTTGTTTTTCCCTAGGGCTCCACTGGGCTCCCTGATACAAAGGTAATACAACAGCTAAATAGCTACACAACCCTGTCAGTAGCCAGGGGCAGCAACATGCTTCTCAGACAACGCTACTTAACTCTGGAGTAGAGGAGAGAAATTTGTGATAGGACAAGAGCAAAAATGATTGCTCCTGATCCCTCCTCCTCCCCCTCACCTACCCCTCAGCCAACTGAGCTGCACTGATTGGGGCACTGAAGTCAAGCTCCACCTATTCCCATTCCTCCTTCCTACTTCAGGGAGGGGCAGGAGGAAGAAATGAGCACTAAAACCAGCGAGACTTAATGGGAGTTGGATCAGGTTAATGGAGGATTTTTAACCAATCCATGGTTTTAGGGAGCCACAAAAAGAGAACCAAAAAATCCCTGCATCATTTACATTGGCTAGGTGATAAGGGAAATGACAGATGAGCAAGGTGGGATGGATAGGTGTTTTGTAATTTCTGCTTGGGACCTTACCTGTGTCAGCTGCAGACAGCCTGGGTCTCCGATGATGGACCCATCTGGCATTTGGTACCCAGCGTATCGGATGAGCTGGCCATTCCATATGCGAAAATCATGTTTCCCATCAGTCCGTTGAGGGAAGACGGTGATGGCCGACCTGCCCAAAAATAACATTGACTCCCATTACAATGCAGCAGGTCAAACGCATTTCGATTATTTGGATTAAAACTGTCACTGCTCTGAGTTATTTCATGTTTTGTAAACTAAGCCCAATAACCAAACAATAGCAAAATGCAATCATCTTATTACCCACTTTCTTTCATATTACAGACCTTAAAGAAGGAGGAGGGAAGATGTAACAGGACACAGATAGTGCCAGAAAAATTAAGAATGGAATACAGGAAAACAAAACTTTTAGAGAAAAACACCCCAGAAAAGAACACCTTAGATGTCTGGGTTTGCGAGATCAGTGATGGATCAGCATACCTTATATTTCCATTGTTTGTGGAGTATTCAATATGGCGACAGATATGTTCAAACATTTCCTTGGCTGTTTTACAGTCACGTGCATCAAACACCTATATATTCCAAAAAGAAATACAGGAAAAGAACTGATTTAGCAAAAAAAAATTAAGTTTATTATTTTTCTAACACAGTTCAGTTTGGATCATAATCTAAGGTTCAGGCACAGTGGATTACACTGGTGTCTGGCAAGCAGGATTTTGCCAGGAATGTTTCCTCTTAAATGCTGTTATATGGAACAGATAAATAGATCTCTGTGTTCCTGTAGTGTACTGGAGATATATCTGCTTCAGGTGCTCAGCTGGCCTACACAAAATGATGTGTGATGTCATGAATATTGTTCTCCTTGCAAAATGATTTGATGTAACTCCAAACTGAAAACCTAGGGAAGAGATCCATCTCTCCTGGTCTAAAACAAAGGTCAGATGATGCAAATTGACACAGTGCTGCTGAAATAGAGGTCACTGTTCTAATATATACCAGCCAGCATTCACCCCCTGAATATCAGTCACTAAATCACCTGTAGATTGGACCACTGGATTCTTCCTATGCACCTTGGAGCATTTCTCCAGGCCTGTTTTGTTGCAAAGATAAGTTCATCTTTGGTCAGCTGATAGGTTCCTGTTGTTTCTATCTCTTTATTAACTGCTTCCATTCGGGCCAGATGTTCTTCTACTTTTGGTCTGGAGAGGAAGAAATAATTGTGAGGAGAAACAATGAATTTTGCTTTAGGCAGAACTGATTTCATTTGCAGAAGTGGTTTGTTTCACAGTTACAATGCTCTGAGTCAAGTTGTGATTCAGCAAGTGTGGCTGCAGAGAGAGGATTTTAGGTCTGCACATGGGCTGACCTCATTGTTCAACATCTGAAAGCGAAATTAATCTACAAAAACAATTGTGATACTATACAAGAGTTCCTGAGCCTCAGATTCATGAACCATCCTTGGACTATGAATTCTGGACTACTTAACCCAGTGATTTTCAACCAGGGTGCCATGACAGCCTTTGAAGGTTGCCGCTGGGATAGAGGAGATAAATGAGACAGTGCAGGCTCCAGAGAGAAGATAAGTCTCGTTTCTGCCTTTCCTGCCATTCCTTCTCCCCGCACTCACCGCAGTGCAGGCTTTTCCCTGCCAGCTGCTCCTTCTGTTTTCCAGCCCCTCATCGAGACGGTAAGCACTGTAATAAATTCACTCGTTTTGGAAGTGGGGTGGTGCTTAATTCACAAAATTCTGGAGGTGTGCCTCAAGTCTAAAAATGCTGAGAACCACTAACTTGACCCAAACAGGAGCAAAATGCAGGGCCAATTGGAAGCTATAATGTTTAATCTTGATGTACTGCCTTCCCCCAAACAGTTGGCTTCCACTTCCAAGCGTGTCATGCACTCATCACACTCTTAGACTGCCTCTTTTGTCCTGCTTTCCACATTAATTTCTCAATGCAGATTTAAATTATCCAGGTTTCTAGTTTAACTCTCATCAAAGGACTGGATGGTCTGCAGTAGGGAAAACACTTCTACAATGGCAGAAGGGTAAAGGGAAGTGGTCTAATTATTAGACTCTAATAGTTGATTGCTTTCTCTCTCACTTCTGTTGTTTTACCAGAAATGTATTGCTCCTAAGTAAAGTCAGTAGGAATTCTACACCAAAGAGGAGAGAAGAGCCTTCAAAAAATCATTACACTGATAGCAGAAAGAATGAAGACAAAATATTAGGAAATACTTATCATGGCACAGACAGAAGTTGTCCTGCTGGCTGATAAACAAAATGAAAATAGCCTGCACCAGGATGAAAGATCAAGGGCAGCACAAAAGACAGTGCACTCAAATAGCCAAGGAGTGAGGTCACCTCCAAGCAGACATACACAGATTTGGGGTATTTAATGCTGCAAAGAGTGAAAGGTGCCAGTATCTTAAGGTAGGATTTTTAGAAGGACTCAGCACCTAGAAATGTACCACCTTTATAAAACCAGTAGTTGTACCAGATGCTGAGTCTGTCTGAAAATCTGTCATTAAGTGCCATAACACAAGGAGCATGGCACTGAGTGGTTCTGAAACCCTGGGCCCCAAGCACTTGAAAGAATGGTCTTGAACTTTGAAAACACAGGCCTTGAACTGCTAGGGCTGGAGCCTCATTGCAGCATCTCTGAAGTGAGCAATTACCCTTTGTTTAGAGCAGTGCAAGTGAACGGACAGTCTGGCCCACTGGATTGAATTCACCCTTTTGCAATGGATGCAATTCCCATTAAAATTACACCTGTGCTGCTTTTGTGCATCTGTGTTGCTGGCATGGGAATGTAAATCATCAGTAGAAGCACTTTTCACTGCATTGTTAGCTTACAAACATCCAGACTCTGCACACATGCACATACACACTGCACTTTACTCACAGGAGTAGTTCCATTAACTACTGGGACTGCTTCTGGGAGTAAAGTAGAGTTCAGGGCTTGCACTACCTGGCTCAAACACAAGAACAGAATCAAACCAATATTCAATGACTCAATCAGGAAACTCCTCTGAGGAAACTGATTTACAAGAATAAAGGAGGAACCAACAATGCAATGACCTCCTGGAAGTGTCTGCCTCTGACCATGATATGATCGCAATTTTAACTTGATTGGTGACATGAAATGTCATAATCTCTTGATGGTCAGAGGGGAAAAGGCACTGATTTCAAGTGCTAAAATTGCCTTATGGGTAACTTAAAAGGGAGGAAGGGAAGTTGCTATAAAACGATCAGCAAACTGGAGCCTCATATCATAAAAGTCAAGTTAAATTCAAGATTATCTGAGTCGTCATCAGAACTAATGGGGTAACCTAGTACTTTACCTTGTAAGGTGTTACTCATGCTAAGCACCTTCAGCCCTCATTGACTTTAACACAGCTTACTTTGTATCTTCCAGGAGCAAACCATTATGCCCTATAAACCACTTAAAGCCATACTATACAAAATTTACCAGATTCCAATTCTGTATTCACCAAGGGGGTGGAACTGAGAAGCCAACAGGTGATAGTAGGCACTAACCCACCCACCACTAACAGTTCTTTTCTATTTCTTAAACTGTCTGGTACGCCATGGGGTGGTTTGCAGGTGACTGTAATGAAAAGAATAGGAGGAGACACTTAGATCTGAAAGACAGACCAGACAATAATAACAAGAATTAAGTGAACATCGCCTTACTCTTTGAACGAGCCGTAGTACTGATTGACAAATTCTATTGCCTGAGGTAGAAGCTCTTCTGGTGGGACTGGCTTGTCTCTAGGGCCTCTCGAAAAACCTTTTGGGGTCATCAGTGCCCCTTGGCAAGCCTTGGTCCTGCAGTTCATAACCTGAAAGGACAGGGAAATGTAAAATACAAATTGTACCAAATGCTTTTCTAAGCCAAGAAAAGTGACCCACTAAAGTTTCCTCCTCTTACCTCCTTTGCCTGAAGGTGCAATGTATCTTGAAGGATGGTGCCATTTTCCATGTTTTTAATTTTTACATATCTTGGGCACCTCGGCTTTTGGTTCACTGGCTTGATGCCATTTTGTGGAGGTTTCTGAGCAGGTGGAAAACAAAAATAAAAAGGGTCATTGGATTTTTTTACAAAACATCAGGTATTTGCCTCAGTTTATCCCTTGGGGATTTTTGTTGGCCCATTTTGACTGCTCAGAAGCCCATGAGAATTTAAGTGAGAGACCATGGAGCCCCTTATTCACCTCAAAGAGTACTTACTCATCCAAGTATGAAACTGTTTATGTGATGCAATGGTCAGCTACTGTAAACCAGCTGGTCTTCAGTAAACCAAAGAGCTAGGTTTTCGGTACTTTTATTCTAGTGAAGAAGTAGCTTACTAGAATAAAAGCAGTAGCACGGCATTCTATTAATTTCAAGGGTACTTCTCAAGGTGAGCGTGGTGGTCTAAATGAAGTGATGAACCAAATGGGTTTAGAGATAAGATAAATCTCTTGCTTGTTAAGAAAGGCTGTGATTTTCAAAGGAGCTCAAAGGACTACGGCAACAGTATGCCAAAAGAACAAGAGCTGGACACCTCTTCCTCTTAGGTCATTAAAAAATCCTCAGTACAGATCACTTGCATTTAAAATGCATTTCATGCAAGGAGCTCAAATCATACCTTGCCGTAATGACTAGACAGCTATGTGTCACACAGTTAGCACATTAGAAGCTTTGACCAGCAAGCACAACCCCTACAAATCCTTTGGATCAAGTACTGAAGTTAGAAACAGAAGTGTCTCCTCTCACTGACCTCAGCTGCAGTTTTGACATAGGGCATCTCATTCTGTTTCTTGCTCAGGTTATTGGCGTCTTCTTTCATTAAGCTTTACAAGGAATAAAAATAATTTGATTTAATACAACAACCTTTATTTTTAAGCCATTGCAATGAACGTGAGATGTAAGGAGGGAAATGGTTAACATGAAAATAATACCAACCCAGTAAGCCAGCACTTCTCAACCTGAGGGAACAGAAACAGGTAGCAGGGCTGTAGCTGCCTTTCCCATACTGTTAAAAGGGACAAGTGTCTCAGATGGGCTGGGGATGTAAAAGGCTGAGACTCGTTGGGATAAGCTAAGCAGAGGAAATATGTCGAGAAGCTACAACTATGGCCTGTTAATAAACTACTGGTACTTACAAAAATTAGACAAAGTCAGGAAAGAATTCTGTGAACTTTTCAAACAAATGCAGTCTCACAGTTCATTAAGCAAATGGCTTGCTTTCTTTTATGTTTATTGCCTTTGTTTCCTGCATGGGATCTGACTTTTGAACCCTTTTCTTCCTTTTAATTTAGATGCCAGGTTTGAGAAGATGAAACTTAACTGAAAAGATCTCAGACAGAAGTGCTGGCATGGGGATGACAACGATGAACTTTAGATCCTTTTTATCTTAGGGCCAGAATCTGTCTTGAGCTCTGACTGCTGAGCAGCCTCTCCCACTGGAGTCAGTTTCATGAGTCTATGTCTGATGCTTATTACTTTCAGTAATAAAACGTAAGGGTTGGGTGTTGGGGTGGGAAGAAGACATCACATTTACATGGAACATAGGGACTAAAATGAAAGACATCCTTTGACATAAGGGGTATTTAAGAAGTGCATGGTATGGTCTTCTATACAAGCAGTAGTCCAAAGCACTTTACAGAGTTAAATCAGGAAGGAACAGGCAGAGTAGAGAGAAATCTTACCTGTGATCTTTCATGGCTGCTTTTTCCACATTATTATTTACATCTTTCTCTTCAAAGGACTGGTTCTTACTGGCTTGAGTCTTGAACGCAAATTGCCAAGGGCACAGCATTTTGTGTATTTTAAGTTATGCTGGTACTTCCCAACCCTGATACTGTGATTTAGGTGATGAGGAGGAGGCTTCTCTAAGGAAGGAAAGAAAATTATGTATTTAGTGATAAAGGAGGTAACACCCTTTCTGGGCAGGATGGGGAAGCACAACGGACTTAACAGACTTGCTAGAGTTAACATCCTCTGATTAAAAATGAGAAAGCATATGCTTTCAGATGTGCTCAGGGTCAATGAAATACAAAGCATAGTTCATCAGTGTCACAAAAATACATTCCTGTTTTCAGTTTAGCATATCTCGTTTTTAGGAACCTTAAGTGTAAAAAAAATATGCTCCTCTGTTTATTTAAATCTCTAATTTTGTAGGAGACTGATCTAAAATGTGAAAGCCTGGGTCATTCACACAGTAAAGATTCCCTTCACAGAGAAATTCTTCTCCAGGGAACTAAAGCCATTTTGCAGCACCTGAGAACTCGATGTTTACAGGTTTCAGCTTCGGTTCGGAAACTGCAGGTGCGGAAACAACTTGTGTGTTCTACGTTGTGTATGCAACAGAACATCATATATCCCTAATCAAGGGAGCACTATCAGTCAGAAGTTAGTCTGATGCCCTATTAATTATCACAAATTGTCTTGTCATTCTTTTGGACTCCAGATTTTCTGCTAACTTCTGGTCCCAAAGCAAAGTTTTCCTCCAGGGGAAAAAAAGAGATGGGTAACATTGAAACTAGTTTGTTATTTAAATCTTCTTTGGAAAAGAACAGCAACAGCAATACAAATAAACAACAACATTGCTGTATTGCTGTTGTGCCTAGAAGCCCCCCATTGTAAGAACAACCTGTACCCAAAATGTATTCATTGAAATGAATGCAACTATGTCTAAAGAAATTGCTATTTAGTATAAAAATGTTAAAAGCCCTTAATAAAAGTAAAAGAGGAGAAAAGTGCTTATGTATAATAATAGTTACTACACTAGAAACATATCTAGCACTTTACAATGCAATAGAAAGAAACGAACACACCCCTTCATTCATTAAAATCTGGTCTTATAAATACATCTAAATGTAAAAGAATGATCTTTTCTAATGGTGTAATTGCTGTGAAGCACTCTCAGAATTGTATACAGCAACCCCAGATTTTCAAATATGAGACCTGTGGGCAGCAATTGGTACTGAAAAGCTCTGGAACTGTAATTATGGTGAAGCATGCCGAGTTGGTGAAGTGCATACTTTTTTCATCTTTATTTTCTATGTGTTGATGATCAAAATAAGAAACCCCTTGTTTCTCTAGATCCTTGAAAGCAATTCAGGAACATTCATTATATTGTTTTTACTTGAAGGAACCGTTAAAGACTATAGCAAAGAAACTAAAGTTTTTGAGGCAGAGAAACAGTTTGGAAAAGCAAAAAATTAGAAAGTGCAATAAAACTGTTAACTGCTTGGTTGGCTGCTCAGTCAAACACAGAGTTGTCTTACCTTGCTTTCGCGAGAAGTTTTTCCAAGTCTGTAGTCTTCTCTGCCAAAGTTTAGGTCTTTAATCTCAGTGGTACTGTGTCCCTGTTGAATCGTGAATGCCTTTTATACTCTGCTGGCACTAGGTATGCAAAACAGAGGGTTGATCAAACACATGGATAATGCAGGACAGGGAAATCCCTGAACCTGAAAAGGAGTGGGGCTGACGACTAAAACATTACTTAATCCTATGTGACTGCAACACAGTAGACAGCAGTTCCTGATGTTTCATCATAGAAAAACGTATACAGATACTCTCTAGACTATCACGATTGCTCTGCCTGAGATTTCAATACATGCTTTGGTAATCAGGAAATTATACCATATCAGAAGTGGCTGCAGTATTATTTTTAGTTTCTTTCTTAAGTCAAACGTTTTACAGGAAAAGCCTTTATAGACTTAGGGTTCCCGTAAAATCTTTAAACCAGGGATACAGTATTTTCTACAAGATACTGTGGGATAAGCTTACAATGCTGGAGAAAGGAAATCATTCTCTATAGCTTTTGGCAATAATTTCTATAGGAACTTTTAAATTTTTATAGGCACTTGTTGGTTTAGGCCCTAATCCAGCAAAGCATTTGAGGTACATGTTTAAGTTTAAATATAGCATTAGTTCCAAGACAGTATGCTTAAAATGAAATGTGTACTTCGGGTTTTTGCTGAATTAGGGTCTTATCTCCTGTTGAATTTCAACAGAATTTTTCCATAGCAGTGTTTTCTAAATTTGTTTTCCTCTACCCATTGCCCTTCTTCTAGCTTAAACTGCCTCTAGTTTCTCAAGTGTTACTCGATTATTCTGAAAAGATTTATGAGTGTTATCCATGGTCCACTGAATGAAACAACAGGTTAAGAGACTTGACTATACTCGATTATGATATGACACTGGCTTACTGGGAAACATGGGAAAAGTCATTTCCCTTCTCTCTGAGTCAGCCTCCCCATCTATAATACATAGTTAATAATGCTTCCCTATATGAAATGGAAAATGACTTGCATGTACAAAGCGCACTTCCTGATTTACCTGTGTTTTTTCCATCAAATGCAACCAGAATTGGATCTAAAATGTTGAGTATGCAGGAATGTGTTTAGTATGATTGCCTATCAGGGCTGTCCAACTGGTGGCCTGTGGACCTCCAAGGAGTTAAGCTGAGGTCCACAGATTCCCAGTCCAGACATCACTTTCCCCACCACTCCAGTTGCTGTTGCCAGAGTCTCTGGTATCTCCCTTCCCACTTCTTGCTTCCACTTCTTGCCTCGTCCCCCCTCACCTCATTTGGGCAAGGTGGGAGGAGGCAGAGCAGCCAATGGAGTCTTCTGCTGTGGGAGTTGGAGGACCCAGGGACTCTGCGGTGCAGGAGCATGGCACAGTGCGGTAGAGGAGAGCCTGCTACATGATGGAGGGCACGCAGTGTGATGGGGGCCACACAGTGCAGTTGTGGGGTGGCAGGAGCACTTGCACAGTGGAAAGGAGGCACCTACTGCAAAGCGTGTGGCAGGTGCCTGCCTGACAGAGGGTGTCCATGTGGCAACATGCCATGGCATGCAGCCCACCTGGCATATAGCCTGGGGGGCATGCTGCCCACACAATAAGAAGTTGGACAGCACTGACCTATCTATTTGAGAGAACCATGTTTACACTTATTGAATTGGCTGTCGGTCAGGAAGCGGCAGGAAGCAGTGACGATGCTATGTGATGTGGGTAACCAATTTCCACATCCAAATGATGAGTCATCCATGGTAGGACTTGGTCTTCATAAAAAATTCCCAATTACCGGTGGGTGCACATTTCTCACAAGATAGCTACTCTCTCCAATCTTTCCTCAAAGGGAATTTACAAGGCATCTTTCACAGATGAACCTACAAACTTTACTTTATAAATCTACTAAATACAAAAAATCATGGACTAAAAATAGACATTGAATTTATGGCACATTATAACCTGCCGCCTTCCAGTGACCCCAAGTAACATCTTTATAACTTCCCAGCTACATTTTATTGCCTATCAATATTCCCCTCTTCTATTGTTTCCTCCTCCCCTTCCCACTCTCTCTCCAATCTTTCCTCAAAGGGAATTTACAATGCATCTTTCATGGATGAACCCATGCTGACTGGCAAGTGCTTGTGTGGACCATTTCTCAAATTTTTACTAATAAATTAGAACTGAAGCTGCAGGATGAGCCACCCTGAATGGTAGGATGCCCATCAGAACCCTTTTGTCTGGGGCTGAGCAACTTTGCACCGCTCTACCGTGGTTCTTCTTCATAATAGCAGGATTATAACTGGTTACATTTGAAAGTAAAACTTGCATGCATCATAGGGCTGTGTCTGAGAATTCGGGAAAGTTTTGGGTGTTGAAAGAATTGGCACAAGTCCCTATTGGATTTTACTATTTCCTCATGGCTTAAAATGCCATCTGCCATGCAGCAGATTTTCCTCCCTGCAGGGCAAATTCTGTGGCAGAAAATTAATTTCCTCCAAAATATGACTCCAAGACATGGGGAATTTTAAGGGTCTTGGGTTGCAAAGCAGAATGCAGCATGACTAAAGAATTAAGATCTTACCCAGCATTTTCTGAGCAGTGAGTAGCTATATTTACCCATTCTTCTTGTTTTCCCATGCCTGGAGAGTGCTGAAATCTGTCTTATCCCTGGAGTAACTCTTGCTTTAGACCAAAGTGCTGCTAGGCTGGCTGGATTCCAGCGAGTCTGATGATTCACATTGGCAAACAGGCAGAAAGAAATTACAAAAGGGGGAATTGGCTGTGCGGGGACTGGAATGAGAGTTCAGATTTGGATTGATGAGAAGGGGAGCACCTCTCCCATACTCTGACTTTAAACTAAGCAGCTTTAAACTAAGTTCGTCGGGGGATGGGGATCCACAGGAGCAAGAGATAACTCAACCAGGTGTAGGACCTGCCCAGGTAAGAGCTCAGGTATATACCAAGGGACCAGTTGTCTCTCAGGAAGGGGGGTGCCCAGGGCTCTCTCGGGGGGATGAAGGTGTCTCTTCACTAATGCAAGAAGCATGGGGAACAAGCAGGAGGAGCTTGCTCTCCTGCTTGCAAGTAGTAAAATCGACCTGGTTGGCCTAGTGGAGACATGGTGGGATGAAACTTTTGACTGGGCAGTAGACATAGAGGGCTATAGGTTGTTCAGAAGAGATAGGAAGGGGAAAAAAGGTGGGGGGTTGCGCTCTATGTTAGGGAACAGTATACCAGTTCTACCTGCCAAATGGGACCAGAGGAAGGCTTAACTGAGACCCTGTGGGTCAAACTTCAAGGAGGGTGGGGGGAGAGGGATCTGGTGGTAGGGGTTTACTACGGGCCACCACATCAAGAGGAAGAGCTGGATCTGGATTTCTCCAGGCAGCTGGGGTAGGCCGTGCGTGCAAAGGATGTTGTGGTCATGGGTGACTGGCATGTGTTATTAGGCTACTGCGCATTAAGCGTCTTCTGTAGACATGCCGGTGGTAGTGTCTAGAAGCCCTAGTCAATGACCAAAGCTGCACATTGTCCTTGGCAATGTACAAACACAGGGCAAAAAGGTGGTCCCTGCCCAAAGAGCTTTCATACTAAGGATATGTTGAATGCCAAATCACTCCTATGACTGCTATGTAGTGTAGCCTCATCAGTGACCACACTGTAGATGAACATTAATATAAGACAAAGGAAGGACACAAGCAGAGATGGGGGTACAAGGAAGCTGGAATACTGCTCAGAATGAAAGCCAGTAGCAACACTGCTGCCTAACAAGCTAATGTGTTGTCAGTTTGTGGTGCCCTAAAGAAGAATATAATCATTCAAAGGGAAGTAGTATCATAAAAATAATATGAGTCAGTGATTTGGACTTTTGCATGTTTCAGAACTGCTCATTACATCTTTGGGGAACTGACCACTTGGTGGCACAAATGTCATAGCTTCCTCCTTTAACGTCACCCATCTATTTCCTGTTTCTTTTGGGGAAAATCTTTGTTCAGTTACCTGTACTTGACAGCCATTTTCATCATGTTTTAAGTGTTTTGTTACCTAACTAAAGAGAAGACATAACATCGTACATTTGGAAATTAATTGCCACATTATCAGACTTAAACTCTTTGGAACAGGTACCATGTCACTGCTCTGTGTATGCACAGTGCACAGCACTGCAGGACTTGGAGCCATCAACAGTGTCGCTATACTCCACTGTAAGTTAAGAAGTTAATAATAACAGTGGTGTGATGTTTCATACAACATTTGGGTGCCACATTATATTGGGATAATGCCTAGAAACCCTAGCCCTCTAACATTACTACTTATCTCCATCTGACAAAGTTAATGGAAGTCTTGGAACTTTTCTTGGAAATGAAGTAACTTTGGCTCCTCAATTCTCCCACCAGACATTTAGAAAGGTTCAACGAGAGCAAAAACAATTTTAGATAAGAACACACTAGGACTGTGATATCCAGGAACCTCTACAATGAGTGCTTTTCTGTATCAAGGGTGTTGGTTGCAGCCATGTTTGTCTAAGGACGTAGGCAGATAAAGTAATTCAAGTAAATGAAGTCTCTTTTATTAAACAACTGAATAGTTGGAAAAATTGTTCTTTGCAAGCTTTTGGTCACACTCACCCTCCTTCAGGAATTGGGAGAGTCTGCTGGTCTTCTCCCTAGGGTCCAAGTAGGAGTTTAAGCAAGCATGCAAAATGGAGGTCTTTGAAAATGCAACTGCAAGGCAGGGAACATGATAGGGGACAGGAGTTAATAGGTGTGAGACAGGTCGGTGGGGGGAAGGGGAGGAAAAAACAACAGAAGAGGGGAACATCAACAGGCAATAAAATAAAGCAGGAAAGATACAGAGATGTTACTTGGGGTTATCAGATGGCAGGCAGGTTATCATGTGCCATAAATTCATAAGTCTACATTTAGTCCATGGTTTTTTGTATCTAGTAGATTTATAAAGTAAAGTCCGTAGGTTCACCTATGAAAGATGCCTTGTAAATTCCCTTTGAGGAAAGATTGGAGAGAGAGTGGTTATCTTGTGAGAAATGTGCACCCACCTGTAATTGGGTATTTTTGTCTTTTTATACATTTTTGGTGTGCATTCATTCAGGTATGCAGTTATTGTTTGGTTTCCCTTATGTAGTTTTCATCCAGGCATTCAGTGCACTGGATGAGATATAAAACGTTTCTGGAGGTGCAGGTGGTAAGATCCAAGACATCTCCACCACCCACACAATAACTAAGGCCCACAACAGAACCACCACCGTAGCAGGGCACCGTGGTGCACTTGCCACTTTAAGAGGAGATGCTGCCCAAGAAGCAGCTTCCAGGTGGTTTGGGGGCTGACTACAGGCTCACCTGACCAGAAGACAACCAGGCTGGGGCCAGATAAACCCAGTGCCTGAGCCAGTCAGGGTCACAAAGGGTTTCCCAGACCAAAGGAGGATTTGAAAGAGGGAACAGAGCCATCCATCCTAGAGAAAGGGATGAGTGGAGGCAGAGGGCAAAGGAATAGAGCACTCCAGCCCAGAAAAGGAAAAGGAGTAGGTCACAAAGAGTTCTCCAGCCCAAAGGAGGATCTGAAAGAGGGAATGGAGCCCACCAGACCAGAGAAGGGACTGAGTGGGGCACAAAGGGCTCCCCAGCCCAGAAAGGGACTGCATGAGGGACCCGAAGATAGAGAGTAGAGAAGGACCCAGATGGTCTGAGAGTCCTGAGAGGGCTAAGGGAAACAAAGAGCTGAAGCGATAACACCTGTGAGGCTTGGGTTGTGGTGTAGGGGAGAAATGAAGCCACACAATTTGCTCTTCAGGCTACAGATGTTGTGCAGGGGCACTGCCAAGCCAAAGGCTGGTTGAGATTAGTGGGGTCCAGGAGGGACCACTGAAGACTTGACTGGCCTCAGGCTGTCTCTAAGGCCCATGGGCAGCCTCCCTTAATTAACCTCA